ATTAATTAATATTATGAATAATAATATTATCATCACCGATAACACCATGAGGGAAGTACTAATACAACCTCCATTTTACAGATGAGGAAACTGAGGTCAGGTAACAAGCCCAAGGTCACATAACCAGGCAGTGGACAGTGCCAGGCTCTGAACAGGGCAGTCTGGGCTCTTCAACACTGTTTTAAACTACTTTGCCCTTAGAGGGGTAGACAGAGGGTAAGGAAGATGTCTGGCACAGCTGGCACGGAGAGGGGGAGGCCACATGAGTTGCAGCTGGTCCATTGTGGGGCTAACCCAGGGCTGAGCAGGAGGCTGTGCATTTTGGATGAGGGACTCACATGCTTTGCAGAACTAGATTCCTCAGGCCTGGAAAAAGTGGCCTTTCAGAAACTAATTTCCAAGCCTACCTTCTAAAATCCTGCCTGTCTTGAACCTTTGGCAATACCTCTTGTAGTATCTTGCCCGCAGTTTATTCTCCTCCTGGCAGCCAGAACAATCCTTTTAAAACCAAATCACATCATGCTACCTCTCTGCTCAAAATCCCCAGTGGTTCCCCACATCACACAGGGTAAAGGCCAAAGTCCTGAGAACAGACTCCAAGACCCTACAAAGCCACATCGGCCTCCTTGCTGTTGCTCCAACATGATGTACCCACTCCTGCCCCAGGGCCTTTGCACCTGCTGTTCTCGCTGCTCGGAATGGGCTTCCCCCACGATGCCTGGCTCCGTCCCTCATCTCCTTCAGATTCCTGGTCTTGGCGATGCAACACTCCCTCTGTCCTCTAATCCCCTTCCCTGCTTTTCCCCCATAGTATTTTTTACCACATGACATACCACGTATTTTATGTGTTCATTGTGACTCTCCACACCCACTAGAACATCAGCTCCACAAGGCCAGGGGTTCTGTCTGCTTCGTTCACTGCTGTATTTCCAGCACTAAGGTCAGACTCTGGCACTCAGTAGGTGCTCAATAAATATTTGTGGGATGAATGAATGAGACTTGGTTTTCCATCTTCTCCCCCACCCTGACAATCTCCCTGTCTACACGATTCTGATCACCTGTCAGGCAGTTGGTACACACAGTGAACAAATGAATCCCTGGTTTCCTTATCTCCAAAATGAGAGGGTTGGACTAGATTATCTAGAGTCTTTTCAGCTCTGAAAACCTTCAACCGACCAAAAAGAAGGAATAATTCTTCATTACAGCAAGTCCGTAGCTGCATTCACTCAATTATAAAAACTGCATTTCCTTTAGAATTTTCCACAGTTAAGGCCCCGTAGCCCCCATGCATCTCAGAATAAGTGAGGTTTGGGTGCAGTTGTGCTACGTGACTTGTAACCTGCACACCAGGTCAGCATTAACCTCAAGTGCTGGGATCACTGGTCTTGTAAAATCGACCCAGGTTGAGTTCCAGGGAAGTAAACCAAACCACATTCGGTTGTCTCTTAGAATCAGAAACACCACCTCTCCTTGTCCCCCTCAATTGAACACTAATTCCTTAGCAGCCCATACTGTTGGTTTTGGGGTTTCGCCAGGGGCCCTCTGGAGGAGTAACAAAATTAGGTGTTCCGGGCCAAAAGGAAGGCACTGGGACGAAAGCAGACCCTGGTGTGTAACAGAGTGTGCTGTGCGTGGCACGGCTGGGAGCAGAGCGTGAAGGTCCGTGTCAGAGAGTTGCCGGGTCCTCCACGGTCATTCCTGACCAGGGCCGCCTAGCCTAACTCTGACTTCAGGGAGCCTCAGGCCTTTGTTTCCCCACCCGAAACAGGCACTCAATGAATCTAATGCTCTATGAAGTGTCTACGAGTTTAAACCCCACCTGGCCAATCTAACCCAAGGCCAGGGTCCAATTTACCAGTGGCATCAGCTGAAGTCTACGCTGATGTTCTCTTGACACTTAACACACAATTCACTTCTCAGACTAAATGTTGGGTCACTATACAATACTACTGCTTTGGTCTTTCAAAGGTGCTCTATTAGCATTAATGACAGAATCAATATAAACTAATTTGTGAGCTCTTTCGAAGTCCCTGCCTTCTTGACAAGCCCCAGCCTATGCATAGCCCTTGGCCCCTAAAAGGCTCCTCTAACATCTGTTAACTGACTGTTTCATACCAAAAGGTGGAAGGGTGCAGTGGTGAAGGCACCGACATCAGAGAAGGCAGACCCGGGTGGACATCCGGGCTCTACTGTTCACTTCCAACTGGGCGGCCTGAACCCCGTAAACCTCTGTGCCTCAGCTTCCTCATCTGTAAAGTGGAAATAGTAACAGCACCTCCCTCTTAGGGCTGTTATAAATATAATATAAATTAACAGTAAGCTGATATACGTACATCACTTAGCCCAGAGCCTGACACGTAAGTGCTAACCCAATGGTAGCCATTATTAGAAATTTCTTCTTTATGCCTCAAGTGACACACACAACCACAGTGTTTGGATGGTCCTCCCTGGTGTATATTCTAGTACCATGGTAATAAGCATGAGGTTCCACCACGGAGCAAGCCCGGCCTAGTGAGGGAGAGCAAACAGACGGCACACACACCACCTCCCCGCCCACTCCCCTGACCGGGGCTGGCATCTCTAGATCTATCTCAGCACTTTTGTCCTCTCCCTGCAGCTGTGGGCTGATAAGACTCAGTACAGAGCTTCAGGCAGCCACTAAGACTATGGGGAAACCTGCCTGCTGTCCTCTGATCAACAGACAGATATGCTGGTGTGGGAGAGATTCACACACGAGGGCAAGGACCACATCTGTGTGCGAGTCATGGGACGTGAGGGGAACTTGGTCTCTTTGTTATAAACCCAGCACTTTGAACAGTGCCTGCCACTCATCAGACACTCAAATATCTGTTGGATGGATGAATTAACATCACATCCATCTGAGGCCATAGCATACAGCACTGGGACTAACCTAGCAGGTGCTCAATGAACGTGGGAGGACAGTAGGAGAGGCTAGCTAGACGCTCACGTGAGCACAGTACTGCTGAGTCCAGAAAGCACCCAGCTTTGGCAGGTTCGGGACCTGACAGCCACTCACTCATCACATGACCCTGAGCGGGGCCTTTCCTCCCCATGTGTACAATGTGAAGGAGCAGCTACACAGAACCCAAGGCCCCTTCCCGTCCTGATATTCTGATCCAGGAAGCACTTCCAAGCCCCACGCTAGTCTAAGGATTCCCACTGTCTCAAAGGCCATAGCTCCGTACATGGTGCTCATGCAAAACGCCTCTCCCAGGGGCCCAGGAAAGAAACCCAAGGTGCTGGGCAGCTGCTGGCCTTGGTATGGGTCACCGCCTGCATTCACAGGCCCACGCCTGGCCATCCAGCTCTCCATTCCAGCCCACACTCCAGCCCCTACACCGTGCCCACATCCTCTCCCATCTCATTCAGCGCATCCAGCTCACAAACACTTACTGAACATCTGCTACAGGCCAGCCCCCAGCAGTGAACAAGACAGACATGGCCCCCGGCTATGGAGCTGGCATTAGCAAGGCAGAGAAAAATACACAAATAAGCAAAATAATTAAAGAGCATAAACAAGCCACTGGTTCTGGAAGAAGGAGGTCAGGGAAGGCTTCTCTGGAGGAGAAGGGATGGAATCGAGACCCGAAGGATGAAAAGGCACTAATTATGAGACAACTGGAGAAAAGAACACGCCAGGCAAAGGAACAGTGGTTGCAAAGGAAAGGCTCTGAGGTCAGGGTCAGCAAACCATGGCCATTTGTATATTTATGTATTATCTATGGCACCTCTGCATTACACTGGCAGAGCTGAGATGTTGCCACAGAGACCATGGCCTGCAAAGGGTAAAATATTTACTGTCTGACCCTTACAGGTAAAGTGGGCTGACCCTGGGTCTCAGAGTGTTAGATAAATAGAGAGGTGAGGTTAACTAAACAGACTGAGTGAGGGGGAGACTGACATACAAGGAGATTGGGGGTGGGGGGGGAGCCACCCTGCACTGGGTTGTGTGGGTCACAATGACATCTAGCCTCATGTCACTGCCTCTATTCTACCTGCCACCACTCCACACCTAAACAGATGCCAGGGTGATCTCCCTGAAACACAGGGCTGGACATGTTACTCTTGTGCTCAAAGAGCCTCAACAGCTCCCATGGTTTCCCAAAGCGTATTCCAAGGAACACTCACTCCATGGGATGAACTTCAATAAAAGGGTTCCATGGTCAAGTAAGTTTGAGAAGCATGGCATTCTCGTCTCTCTTTTGGATGTTCTCAAGCACACACATTAGCACATGAAAGGCTCTGAAAAGTTGCCCAGCAAAGAAATTTGTGGACTTTGTTTAACCCACTGTCCAAAGTTTTTTGACCATAGTACCCCCTTTTTCCCACAAAAATCTATTACCATTTTAAAGGAATAGTGTTCCAGGGGCTGAAGGGCAAACGCTTCTGCGTGGCACTCACATATACCAGTGCCTGCCTGTGCCACTGTGGTGGACGTCCCCTGCGGGGGCCTGTCCAGTCTCCTTCCCACCTTCTTTGATAATGAGCCCAGCTTTCTTTTGGAGACCACCCCTCCCCCTATCCTGCCAGCTCCAAGGCAGAGGGCACACCCCTGGCGTAGCTCAGCTGAGTAGCCCATCCCTCAGCTTTGGAGTGACCGGTTCAGGGGGATGAGCACAGGACCCATGCCAGGCCAGTGGACTGCAGTCAAGGATGGGACTGGCCGCCCTGGGGTTCACAACGCAGCAGCCAAGATGGGCTAGCCCAGGGTTTTCTGTCCAGGCTTGTGCTTCACCCCTAAGTTCCACCCAATGTGAGCAGCTAAAGGCCAGTTCAGGACTGAGTTATCGTTGGTTCTAGTCACAGGTGCCCACAGAGGACACCAGGGGGGCTGGAAAGTGCTGCCCACAACCACACATCCTCCAGGGAAGTATGGGCACTTTGTAGCAAAGTGAGCTGGCTTGCACCATCCATCCTTTCAGGGGGAAAGCCCAGAGACAGGTGGCTGTTAGCTGGGAGACCAGGGGACGGGGGTGTACCTGCTCGCCGTGCTTTTCCTTCCAGCCGCACTGGCTCCGTCAGCCTGCAAAAGAAACCCAAAACACCCACGTTAGCCAAGGGGGAGATGAAGACTCTACCCACTGTCACCCACCAAGCTCCCCCGC